CGTGTCCAATAAATTGCTTCGGCACTATTCAACAATTAAAATCTCAAAAATCAACAAAAAATTTCTGCTGAAACTTGGCCCAAAAGGGTGATTCGGAGCCCTGATTCACAAATATGTTATTTGTTGCGCTGCCGCCCTATGGCACCATTAGACGCCCAGTTTGTCGCCACCACCTTTCTCAACAAAATCGATGAAATCTTGGGGGTCAATTGACACCCTGATTAAGGATTTAGCATTCACTTCTACCCTTGTAAGAAAAATCGGTAAAAAACTGGCCTCATTTCGGAAGACTGGGGTAGGAAAAGTTTGGTAGTGCCGTAGTTTTTTTTATGGAAATGAATGTAAGTACTCCACTATTTGTACTTTCTTCATGAAAAAGGCGGTCTATCTTGTAATAGTTTTTGAGGACTTATGAAGTCAGGAAAATTCCGTAATCGATGCCTTTGAGTGCCTCTTTTCAAAAATGATATGGTAATCGATCTTACCTGTCGGTGAGGGATTTAGTGAGCGGGAATGCTTTTAATGGATCCCATTCACCAAGTGAAATGTCCGAGCCGCAGACGAACATTTTCTCCCATAATTTCAGTCGTAATACCCTCACATGGAACTGCACTCGTGTTTTCTCCATCATCTGTGAAGAAATACGAAATTTTGATTGAGCTGAGACGATGTCGGTAGGCAGTAATAGGAGCCAACGGTAGTGGACGAGAAGGAAAAGAAACCGAGTAAACAGAAAAATTCAAGCGAAATAATGAAATTGAGACCAGCCATGGGATGGGAACTCAGCACGAAACGAAAGAAAAAGTGCAACAATGTGAAGAAAATCAATGGAATGGCATAAGGAATAAGGAATGCAAGGCTGAGGAGATTGGAAGGAACAGGAAACGTATATGAATCGAATAGTTTGTGGTTTGTGGGCGGGGCTAGCCGCTGTTTTTATAAAGCTTAACTGACGAAAGAATAACCGACGCGTGTCTGCTCAAATGCTCTAGTCTGCTTATGTAAAGTTTCTCGATTGAATTCGTCACATAACTGCTAATGCATTTGACAGCACAAGGGGATTTGCTGATTGGGGAGCTTAATCAGTTCTACTAAGGACATCAGTATTACTGCAATGTTACTAGTAAATAATGAATGCAGCAAATAATTTCAACTGAAGATATCGGCGCAAGTCAGACCATGCGGGAGAGGGGGGGGGGGCGAAACTCACAAGCTCCTGTAAACACATCGGATAAGTTTGTGAGGTCCCCGTCAGGTTCCATTTGTACGCGATTTCTTTCATTTTTTCAAATACTGGACGGCGCTCAGTGCTGAAAATACCGAAGAAGGGGTACAAGGCCCATCATTGGTCGGGGATACAGGTGGAGCCCGTACGACTCCCCTGAGTGAGTGGCTTGATACGGTTACCCCCTCCCCCACCCCCTCGTTCACTCCTCTGATACGATCGAGCTGTTGAGCGTGGGAGTTTATAGCACATGTGAAACGGAAAAAACCCCGAGGAAAATACGACCCCTCCCCCATTCTACCTACCGCTTTCTTAGATTTTCCCAACTTTCTACCAGTTTTTCCATTGTTCCGAGAATTCCCGACAGTTTTCCCACTTTTTCAGCAAATTGCAGGAGGGGCAGGGCACATCATTGGTTGGGGGG